TCTCCTCTCCTCTCCTCTCCTCTCCTCTCCTCTCCTCTCCTCTCCTCTCCTCTCTTCTCCTCTTTTTTTTTCTTTTCTGTCCTTCCATTGGTAATTGTCAAGGACAAAAACAGTTTTCTAAATAAGAGGGTTCTCTGAATCAGTGCTGGCCCCCAGGTCAGGACCTGACATCAGACAGAGCAGCGTCCACTGGAATGAATGAAGGTGCTCTGGTACCTTGTCACATGTGGGCAGCAAGGGAGAGAACAGGCCAGTTAGATCATAGAGTAGTATCATGGCTCCTGACCAGCTGAGTAGCCCCAAGCCCGTGTGCAGCCCATGCAGGGATCTGTGTCCTTCTGGGTGTTTAGGGGCCTTTGCACAGGGGCCTGAATACTCAGGCACTCAGGAAGCAGTATCATGGTCTGGGAGGCACCACTGAAAAGACTGCTCCTTCCAGGATGCTGCCCACAAGGATCCTGCCCTTGGGATCAGTTGTGGGGAGGACCCTGATCTTGGCCCAGTTGGCTATTGTAAACTCTCCTCTCAGGGGCTTTGCTTTTGCCTGAAATGCTGGCTGCGAGGTTGCATGTAGGGGTCAGAGCAGGTGCATTGTGGTATAGGCACGAGTTAAAGCACTGGTCATTTCTGTTACAGATTGGCACTAATTAGGAACAGCTATGGGCTGGCAGGAGGCATGGTGGTTAAGGGTGCTGGACTTCCACATGGTTGACCGTGGGTTGAGTCCCATACCTGATGGATTGTTTTCTCACTTTCTCTTTTTCTCACTCTGTCCGTCTCTGGTCAAATTAAAACAAATAAAGTCAAATAAAATAATTCTTAAAAAAAAAAAAAGGAACAGCTGTACGGAGGGCACTATGGGTCTGGGGAGGGGGACACAGCCAAGGGACTCTTGGGTGGGAGATGCTGCTGGTTCTATAATCAGGATCAGGGTGAATACTCCCAGGGATTACAGGGCTAATCCAGGTCGTGTCTGTGCATGTGTGAATGAGCATGTGTGCATGTGATGTGTGTGCATATGCATGAACGTGAATGCACATGTGTGGTATGTGCACCTGTGTATGCTTGCTAAGGAAGGAGAGAGAACAGGCAGAATGCCTCTCTGTTGCTGTTGCTATGGTGTCTGAGGTTTTATTCTCCCTGCCTTTGGACTGTTGGTTCTGGGCTCCATGAGTGGGGTTGCACCCTCTCTGTCACTCTTCCTGTGCTGATGGGCCCAGAGCATTCCTGGGCTTCAGGTCCAGCCATGGCTTATGAGAAGGGGTTGTGGAAGGCGCTGCTGCTCTCAGGTGGTCTGTCCAGGTGGCAATACTCAGGGCTGCTCTCATTACAACTCTTTCAAGCCTACTCTTTTATCACAGGTAGCCCTGCCTCTCCTCGGCTCTGGCCAGGAGGGGGG